TACGCAAATTACATTTTTATCTAACGACGTGGCGAAAATCGACGTGGCGCGCGACGTTCACGGCGGGAGAGACGCATGAATTATCGACGAAAACGCATAATCATATATTTACGGCTGCCGTGAGAGAGGCGCAAAGGCAATTCGCGGGCGCGCGCGCGCGCGCGCCTATTATCTCGTTTTAACGGGCATTTTCTGAAATATTGCTAAATGACGGCGCGTCGGTAATCGACGATAGCGAGCGCGTTTATGGAGATTGGCGGCTGACGCGATTATCTCTCGCTTGAAATTGTCCTGTCGTCTCAAACACTTGACGCTGCCGCGGCGTCGCCGTTTAGCGTTTCGTGAAAGCTCGTTTGACGTAAAAAAAAAACCCCTTCACCGCTTCGGACACTTTATATCACGGTGACGTTCAACCGCTGAGATACGACCGTCTCATGACCGACGGACCTCGCTCGTATCATTCATTATAGCGCTAAATTCTCATTAATTGTAGGTCTGTGTGAAAGTTGCAAAAAGTTGAAAAAAATCGCTTGAAAAAATCATTTTTCTACAATTTTTATTTATAAAATAAAAATGGGCTTCAAAATTAATGGAAAGTGAAATATATAAATGAATTTTAAATCGTCTTTCTAAAATTTTTATCTGCAAAATAAAATAGACTTCAAAATAATGAAAAATAAGATATTTAAATTTTTATTTTAAGGAAATTTCTCTCTCTCTCTCTCTCTCTCTCTCTCTCTCTATCTATCTTTCTCTGTAAGTATTGATTTTATCTATTAGATGAATACTTAATAAAGACTACAATTAAAGGACGATAACTTTGCTGGAGTTAATTAGCTAGAATCGTGCAGTTCGCGTAGACATAATCCCGGCTTTCCAAATCGTTTAGGATGAAGCGCGATCATAAAAGTGAAACGGCTGGTATGACATTTCATCTCGTTAGGAGTTCATTGGATCTAATTGTCGATTAACGTGTTCGGGTTAGTTTATCCTCCGAGATCCGAGAGAGAGAGAGAGAGAGAGAGAGGAGAGAGAGGATAATATGAATACATCCGGCACGGCGGGAAAAGAATTCCCGCGCATTAGGATTTTATGATGTATCGTCGATTTTACTGCCGCGCCGTTTTAAAGTCGTCGATGAGCAGCGCGCCAGCTTTCAAACTATCTACGGATACTAATAAACCCGGGGGATATTACACTATTATCGTCCCGCTCGTATTCTTATTGCGATCCGAATGTATTATCGTGTTACGACGAGCCGGCGCGAATACCGGTTCGCGACTAGTTAACCGATACGCGCGGCTCGCCGTTATTTGCCCATTAGGCCCGATCTTATCGATCGGGGATCGTCTGAAACTAGATCCCCACGGACTCCGGAATCATTTACCTGCGGCAATGAAAACCTAATTACGCGATTACCGCCGCGATCTCTCTACCACCCTCGTCTCTTTTGTCTTCATTTCTGTGTGTCTTGTTCAATATTGTAACATCGTTCACAGCATTATTTTAGTACATTAATTTTGAAATTTAGATTAATTATTTGTATGTAATTGTTACGGACAAATCAATAGATACTTTTAAAAATTGTCCCAGCTTTCTGCAATAATTTAAAACAAATTTATATTAAATATAATTATCACGATTGAATCGTTATGATACTTTTAAAGAATGTTGTCTCATATCTTCCAATAATTAAAGAAACTTTGTATTAAATGTAATTATTACGATTAAATTGATAAATTGCCTTAAAATGTGTCTCATATTTTCCAATAATTGAAAAAGCGGAGTTAATGTCTTAATTATTATTTGAAATTTTTTCTCTTCTTTTTTTCCTGGATTAAATAATTTATTTCGTTTTTATTTTTTTCCCATTCGCTGTTGCGTGATAATTTTTTTCTAACGACACTTGAACTTGGATTTAATTCGACTTCAATTTATCTTGCCTAATCTTAATGTTTTCCTTTTTTCTGTATTATTTTCTCCCGGAAGAGTTATACCAGAATACAACAACATATTCCTCTTTTTCTCTCGCTTTTCTTCTCACAGCTTCTCGTGCGCGAACACGATTGTATTTCGCACCTCGGCCAATGTTTCCGATCGGAGTCTCGGTACGTACGGTAATCGTACGGCACAGCTGTAACGAGTTTCAAATGAGATTCCGATGTTTTGTCCCGGTCGTAGGGTATCGCGTTTAACGGCGATAAGGGGGAAATCCCCGCGGCGGAGCCGGTCACGACGCCATCCGAGAGGCAGAAAACGGACGCGCGATGCGGCGCTGCGACGAGAAAAATTGGCGACGCGCGTACGAAAGATTGGAAGAATCCGGGAAGAGGAAAAGAGAGAGGGAGAGAGAGAGAGAGAGACGCAAGAGATGAGCATATATGCACGCGGTGCGCGTTACCGCGAGCCGTTTTCTCTAATTCTCCGTGATTGATGGCGATTGGCGGATTTTTGTCCCGCCCGGCTAGGCGGCAGGTGATTACCGTAGGTAGACAGGCTTACGGCTTCAGGTATCTTTACCTGGCGAGCACGTATCCGCGCGAATACGTCGCGCGCGACGATGCGAGCAAGTCGGCCCGCGAGCGGGCGCGCGATCGTTATAACGAGAAAGTGAGGAGACGGGCAGGAAGATATTCGATAATAGCCACCGATTGCGTGAAACATCCTCCCCGCCGTGGACGGCTCGTGGACGGGAAACACCGCGCGGGATTGAGTCGTTGACGTGGAAACGTGCAGCGGGCAAACGGGAGAAAAAGGAGTAAACGAGGAGAGGAGGCGATGGGGAGAAGATGCGCTGCGCGCGGAGGGGTTATTAGACGCGCGGGACGCGAGCGAGCGTGTAATCGGCGTTTAATTTCACGCACGAGCCGCGCGACGTGTCATTACGACGATGGCGTACGTGACTCCGATGCATCAACCTCCTCGAGGGGGTTGGTATGTCGTCCGTTTCTATGCCGATGAATTTTGCCACGGCGCCTTATATATTCAGAATTACGGAGGATATATTACAAGGATATATGCCAGAGGATATGCAGTACTTTTCAAAATATATGCTACGTGTGCTACGTGCGATGTATGAGCGTTTTCCTCAAAACGACTAATACAACATTTTTTTTTGGTTTCCAGAAGAGTTTCGGGAAATACAACAAATTTTCGAATTTTTTCGTTTATATTCGTACAATAAACAAGAACGACAGTCTTAATTTTATGGAGAAAATTATAGAGAATATAGAGAAATCGATATATAATATATTAGGTATAAGATATTTCGACCATTGAAGGTTTTATCTAGCTATGATGAGCTCTTTTATTCGTTCGATTTGATTCGTTACTACTTAGCGTAGATAATTAAACTACGCTGTTAATTTTGTTCGATCACGATTGAGTCTTAAAATTCGACCTGAAGCGATATCCAATACAATCGTGATTGTCTACCGCGGTGATTCCGCTCGCACACGTCGTTTACGCCCGCAAAAATCTAACGAGATCACCGACGACTCTTCAATGGTCCGCTTCGCTGGGCCCGCGCCGGTCGTAATTCCATCCGTTCTCCGTCCACAACCTATCCGTATCCGCGTCGGAAAATAAAAGCGGTAACCGCCGCCGCCGCCGCGACGGCGAACGCGGCTCGATCGTTCGCGCCAGTGTTGGCCCCTGCGCTCCTTATTTCGCCCGCTCGTGCACGAGAAGTCGCTCTTAATTGCGCTGATATACGATTCGCCCGTAGACTTCGGGACGCTATTTCATTCGACGCCCGTTAACGTTACGCAGCGTTGCGATGCGAGACGAGACGAAACGGTGGGACGATAGCGATGCGATGCGCGATGCGAGGTCATAAATTACCTCTAATCCTTCTCTCGCGCGTGCAGGCACCTTTAGTTCTTCTCGGACGCGCGGAGAGTATTAGAAGAAAGAAAGTTGAAGTTACACGCTACCGTCGACCTCGGAATTCAATCGGCTATTCGGCGTCTTTAATGGCCGACCGCTCGATCGATTGACCGATTCGAGACGAGTTACTATATTCTCCTTTTCGTCTCGCGATTTTCCCGAGCGACAATCGGAATTGAAATAGAATTTTACTGACAAGTTGCGCATAGTTTTGATGTTGTATTTTAATTTTGACAGTACAGTAGAGCAATAACCTCCCAAGAATTTTTTATTTATTTTTTTTTGCAAAGTGTGTTTATTGGTTGCAAATGTCATGAAGCGCCATTATGCAAAGCGAGCAAATTTAGAAACTTGCGCTGGACCACTTAACGCCTGTCAATCTATCACAGATCATACATCGCTGTAGGTATTCGGGCGGTCTATACGATCTGGGCATGGAATATTCACTGCTACAGCTATTTGTAATTCATTGAACGCCACACGTTTCGGGTGTGCATATTTATTCAGCGGACCGATGTTTATTCGTCATCTCTGATAGCGCAGAGAGAATCGACGACTATCGCGATATTGATCGCGGTATTGATGGCTTACTCGCAAGAGTGACACGCGCGATATTTATCTTTAGATAATAGGACACCATTTAGCAATTAAAATGATTAGTCGTGTATCGTTAGGTATTTAATTGCATCGCGAAATGAATACAGATAATCGATATCTCACTGACTTATTCCTGCGAATGTAATTAAGGACAGGGGAATAAAATAAACAAAATAACGAAAATCGAAAAATCGATAAGTTTTAATTGAATTGCACGTTATCGAGGATTATATAAATATATAGATACAATTTATATAATTTATATCATTGTTTCAGTTTTAAAGAAAGATGAATATAATATTCTCAGACTAAGTATACTTTACTTAAGTAGCCAATATGATAAAAAAAAATTGACTTAAGTTTAGCAATCAATATGAAAAAAAATTCTTGCTAAAGCAGCGAGATTTTTATAGTTTGTATAATTCATTGTTAGAGGATAACTTAATCCAAATACATTTATTAATATTTATGCAGTCAGTTTGCTGGGGTGGCTGGGGACGTAAAGATCTGATTTGTAACATGGTGATTTGCGAAAAGAACTTGCGTTAAGTATTAGTGAAATATATAGAAACACAAGAGAGTCCGCATACCGTTGGGTTCAGCGAATTTACAGCTGCGGTTCGACGATATTTTATCGTCTATAAAAATCGTCAAGAATCGATAGGAAATTCGCGTCGTAACGACCACACGAGAGTCACACGCGTCGCACAAATCACATTCTCTTAAAAATAAAATCGCTACCCGGCGATTTTGGTTTCCGTGAAGAGAAGAAATTAAAGGCTCCGATATTATACGATGTAGCTCCGTTGAGTGAAACTCGCGTTTTAGGATGCTTTTAGCGATTTTTCGAAGGTGATCGCTCATTAAAATAGCCACGCGTGCGAGGAGACTCTGGAACGACATTTATGAATTTCTAAAACGGTCATTTAAAAGAAATGTGCAAAAAGCAAGGTGATGAGAGAAAGAGAGGGGCAGGGGGCAGACACAGGGGAGGGACCGACACATTATCAAGATGACGCTGCGAAATACAGTTGCGCGATGCCGGCGGTGTGCTAGCGGAACCTCAGCGACAGCTGCGGTAGCCATAATCCGTCTATTTCTCGTGCTAGCTTTTGTGAGGCCGCGTATCGAATGATTTCGATTTCCTGATGCGCGCTCGGTGTATCTCCCGGCGAGGAGATACGAAAGCTCGTCTGGATGGTCTGGATTAATCGAAGTCTGCAAACAGAATACTCCTATTATAATATAAACACTAAATATAAATTAAAATAAATTTATAAGACACAATTTTTTATCTTTTATTAAGATAAATTTTATACTTTGAAAGAAGAGAGTCTCTTCTTCTCGAGACAGGTTACATATAATATCTGAAAAATCGAGGCGAAATTGAATCGTTGTTCGTCTACAGAAGTAGTTTAATCGTATATACACTTAGAGAAATATTTCGCTGTTCCAGCTAGAATTATAAATATGTGTTTAAATTATATCGCTGTTTTTTGTATCTGCTAAAAAATTGTCTGTCATACGTAAAATTTATAGCAGTAATATTCTAAGAATATATGCAAGAAAATATAGGTCTCATGACCAAATATGATTGGAGTCAGGATTGGAGTCTGGACTGATTTTATTAAACGTCATAGAGAAACTTTCTTGCTAAATTTGACAAATAGTTCAGATATAATTTCCATCTCTGTCATCTATATTGATTAAATACAAAACGTATGTGGTATCGCAGTGCTTACTAATAACTTATCCATTTTAGCTAATTTTTCGTACCTAAATAATTCTCGCTATATAATTGTAAGATTACTTTTTTCAGTGTAGAATAAAATATTCTAAGCACTCAGGGAAATGTTCCGCTGTTCTAGCTAGAATTCTAAATATTACACTTAAATTATATTGCTGTTTTTGGTATCTGCTAAAAATTTGTCTGTCATACGTAGAATTTATAGCAGCAATATTCTAAGAATATGTGCAAGAAAATATAGGTCTCATAACCCAATATGATTGGAGTTTGGATTGGAGTCTGGACTGATTAAACGTCATAGAGGAACTTTCTTGCTAAATTTGACAAATAGTTCTGACATAATTTCTGTTATCTATATTGATTAAATACAAAACATACATGGTAGTGTATGGTCGCAGTGTTTACTAATCATTTATCCGTTTTAGCTAATTTTTCGTACCTAAATAATTCTCCCTATAATTGCAAGATTACCTTTTTCAGCCATTCTGTACGTATATATATTGTAGAAAATCGTAAACGATGACATATGAAATTGAATAAGGCGATAAAGTTGCTGTCAAATCGCTGTGCAAACAAGTTGTGAATATACCTGAGCGCATAATACAAATACTCGCGAAAAAATTGCGCGTCTCTTAGTTGAACGTATAGCACAATGGTGCGGCGTTAATTGGCACTCTTAGAAAAATGCGCCGTAGCACGCGAAGGACGCGCGCGCTTCTCTCCCGTTCATTACGCATTTAATGCGTTAGGAGGTCCCTTAAGCCTTAAAGAGTGTCACCACGGCGCAAGGGGCGGGACACGCCTCATGCGCTGAGCCATAAATTACTCGTACTTTATAACCGATTTAATTGCGGGTGTTTTGCGCGCGACTCTTTTTTCCACCGGTCAGGCCACTGTCGCGTACGCGAGTGCTTTCTCTCTTTTTTCCTGCGAGTCCGCGATCTCGTTGATTTCGCATTATCTGTCCGCGCGTGTGTGATATACGCGCCAAGTACGAGCGCCTGACCTCGCGAAACTTTGTTTTAGCACGCAAACGGTGTGTTCCCCGAGCAAAAAAAGAAGCGGCCACATATCGCGCGTTTTCCCCGCATAAAATATTCGCAACGTACGGTGACGCGAATTCACCTTTTAACATTCTGCTCCGAGCAGAATGTTCTGTCAGAAGTGAAACTAAACTACCTAGGTGAAACTAGAGAGAAACTTTTAAGTTTAAACGGAGAATAAGTAATAAAGATTGGGTGAGAGCAAGTAGGTACTAAAGCATAAAAGGAAAAAACAATAAGAGACAGCACAAGGCATAAGAATAATGTGTTCCAGAAATATTTGGCGACTTTTTGAGAGTAGGAAAAACCTCTCCAACTCTCGAAAGACACTCTCCAGAAGAGATGACATTAATATATTTTTAAATGTCTCTTTGCGCGCGTGATATATACGTTTTTCTACCTAAATCTGAAATATTACCTCTCGTATATCGAAAAATCACCATCCGCCGCTATATCCTGTTCGGATTTATTCGCGGAGGAGCTAGAAATTTGCACGGAGTAATGAGACACCTGACGCTTCTCGTTTCCTGTCAGACATCTCGCGGAGAAAGCTAATCGTTAATATCACACGGCAAAAATAATTGATGAATTTGTTGGCGCAAATCGGAACTCACATATGGCGATAAGTTTCTCCGCGCGTCCGTGCCGTCGTTAATATTACCGGATGATTCGCGCCATAAATTGACGTTACCCCGGCTTTTGTGGGTAACTTTTTTTTGAATTCAGTCTCCTCAGGCATTTAGAAGAAATGTAATTCCGACGACTACTTGCTGCATTAAATGAAATACTATTTTGGCACGTGAAGTATGCCGTTGGGAAAAGAAGCTATATTAATGAGAGAAAGGCTTGTTAGAGATCGTTATTAAATATTCAGATGGATAAAGACTGTATAAAAGAACTCTCCGCGAGACTCGGTCATTGTTCAACACATTTCTTGAGCGTCATAAATTTTTAATCGACGCAACCAACCGTTCCAGGTGAATTACCGTAGCCGCCGCTCGCGCGGGTTTACAGGGCGTCCTCTTATATCGATCCCACGCGCGGAGCGGAGAGACGCTGACGGCTACCTGTCGTCCGCGATGTACCTTGCGGAACGGATCCGGACGGTCAGTGCGGGCCGTGCACCGAAGACCCGAGGGCGAAGTCGCCGGCGCGGCGGGCGCGTCGTGCAGCAGCCGTGTACCGTGCAGTGCCCGCGCGGTCGGTCGGTCGGTCGGTCGGTCTCCGATCGCTGATATCTCAAATAGACACGTTAACGTAGGCTCTCTGCTATGAGCCTAAGGGCGTCCATGAGGATCGACCGACGTTCTCCCGGTACCTTGTAGTATACCCTGTAAAGCCACGTCCGGGGGCCCCTCTCTCCCCTCCCCCCTCCCCCTTTCGCCTCCTCTCTTTCTCTCCGTCTCTCTTTCTCCCTTTTGCCTCCGTTGCACCTTCGACCGCGCCGTGGTGATGCCGTGGGCTCGCCGGTGGTGTTGTGTGCTTGCAGCGCGCGGCCGTGCTGCAAGCCGACCTACCGTTATCCGGTTAACGAGCTACCACCGCTATATACACACCGGCCGCTCGGCCGGGCATTGCGCATGCACGAAATGTATACGTGGGAACCGGAATTGGTGAGCGGCAAGAGTAAGTGAGCCTAGGGACCCTGAGGAGAGCCGCGCATCCTCCCGCCGCTGAGAAAGGACGAAGGTCTCCGCCGCGCGATCGCGACGGCGCGGCGCGCGGCGCGGCGGCTCCACTACGCCTGCAGATTGCGAGAGGTAGCTGATTCACCGCGCGGGTCATTAGACCGTCCCGCGGACCACCCTGTCGCGGGTGATCATCGATCAGCCCTTTATCTTATATTTTAATGTTCACTCTATAGTTGTTAATAGATCCACAATTGATTTGTTTATAATTCTTGTGCGAAAATTTCGCGATTGGAATTATCAACGACTGTCGTCTTATGCATTTAATCGACAACAAAGTGCATGCTGCGATAATTTAGATTTTTTCATATTAATATTTAACGTGTTTTATATTAATATATATATAAAATTTCTAATATAATTTTAAAATATTTAATGTTTTAAATAAACACTTAGAACCAATTACATTTAATATTGAGTTTTTAATTGTTAATATAAATTTTTTTTTAAATAAAAGAATTACAGTTGTGAACGCAAGAGAAAGAATAAAAATCGATGTATTTTTCTATATAATTATTTTATCTAGTGTTGATGATCGAAGGCACGTCGCGTCGTCTGGGAATGCAACAAGCGGCCAAATTTTTGTACGCCTCGTTACGCGGATTATCATACAGATTTGTTATCTCACGCGAGAACGCAGGAACTCCTTTAAGATCGTACGGTTTACAAGCTTATCAACGATGGCAGCGTCGTTTGTGCGATTGTAACGCGGACTTCGTAACAAATGAGATATAAACGTGGGAACTGGACATTGGTAATGGACGGAACGAGAGGCCAGCGCCTCGAAGAGGCATCACCGAGACCTCCGGTTGGGAAAGAACGTCTCTCAATCGTTCCTCTTGCGTTGTAGATTAAGCTCCAATGACGTTCTATATAATTAATGTGCACTGCAGTCTTGTATGTTCTGTCGCCTCGCGATCGGAATTAAAGCGATCTCGTATAACCTATATTGCGCTTCATTTCTCACGCGCGTTACTCATTATTATTATTACTTTCTGTTTCAGGTAAGTCTCCGTCGGACGATAAAACGCTACACCTCGGCCGTTTCAATGCGCGCGGTAAGTCACACGACCTTGCGTACTTTATTTCGCTTTCGATTCGATAAAACAAAGCGGAGATCCTTTCGCCGCGAAGAAAGCCATCACGCTCTCCTTCGTATCGGGAAAAAATCTGTCGAGGGACGCGCAGGGAAATGAGCAACGTTCCTGGAAGATTTAAGATCGCGCACTGTCAGATCAACGATAACGCGTCCCGCGACCTCGGGTGCGCGTCAGCAACGTGTTTGCGTTGCAATCCGTAGATTATTGATAGGAAAATCCTGAAGGAAAATCTCGTTATCTTAAGCTCAATCTTGCCGTACGTAAATCTCTTTCGAATGCAAATTCGCGTAGACCCAGTATTAATAAAATTTGGACTGTTGTAAGTAAAATATAAAATTAAAAGTAGGATTGTTTGACGAGAACGAACTGTAAGATGTGAGATAGAAAACTGGAAATTTCTCTGGTCGCGCCAATTTGAATCTCGCAATTGTCCAAGTGCTAATAGTAAAAAGGAAAGACGAATTTTAAACGCTTATTTTTCATATTGAAGATTTCTCTAGGAATCTTCCTTCTCGTCAAGATAATCTCGTCTCCCTCTGTTTATTTCCCCTGCACCGCGACTTCACACGCAGGATATGCATCAATCTGTGCATCTCGCTTCGTTCCCGCGGATTAGCGAGCGACGGCGGCGTGGCATTAT